AAGAAGAGTACTTTGCAGCGAGGTATTTGTATAGAAATCAATACATTCTGCTACATTCATAAATTTGTGGACAATGGACACCAATATAGAAAGTAATAGGGTACATAGAATCCATTCCACCATTGGGGCCTGTCTCTAGGCAACAAGAAATGCAAATATTTAGATGCTATATCATAAATGCTACTCATTTAGCTTAGCTTCTTCTGCAGATCTAAAAGGTATAGAGTTGCAGACCAGTTCTTTTACGTTGAGGCAAATTAAAGCTGCCACAAATAACTTTGATGCTGCTAATAAGATTGGTGAAGGTGGTTTTGGTCCTGTTTACAAGGTATCATGTGCAACACATTGGTTCTATACTTACTGCAGCGCTCCCCTCAGGTACATTTGTTGTTGATTGAACCAGGTAATATGTTTTTCAAATGCAGGGCATTCTGGCAGATGACACAGTAATTGCTGTTAAGCAGCTATCTGCTAAATCAAGGCAAGGAAACCGTGAGTTTGTGACTGAAATTGGCATGATTTCAGCTCTTCAACATCCTCATCTAGTAAAGCTGTATGGATGTTGCATCGAAGGAAATCAATTGCTGCTTATATATGAGTACCTGGAAAACAACAGCCTTGCTCGTGCATTGTTTGGTAGATCTCGTCCATATGGTTTACTTTAACTTCCTAGGCACATGGCACGACACACACCAAACACATGTGAATGTTCATCATTAATAAGATATCAAGAGAAGAATGCTAGTTTGTCTGAGCTTCTGTTTATTTGGTTATGAAAGGCCCAGAAGAATTTCAATTGAAATTAGACTGGCCAACAAGACGGAATATCTGCATTGGCATAGCAAGAGGTTTAGCTTATCTCCATGAAGAATCAAGGTTGAAGGTTGTCCATAGAGACATTAAGGCTACCAATGTGTTGCTTGATAAGAATCTAAACCCCAAAATATCTGACTTTGGTTTGGCCAAGCTTGATGAAGAGGATAATACCCACATCAGCACCCGAATTGCTGGAACTTAGTATGTCTATATTCAGATTGATTGTCAATGAGTTCCTTTACTTCATTTGTATGCTTTTTGTTTTCTCAAATTTTAAAGGTTGAATAATAAAAAAATATCCCAGGAGATATATACAAGATTGAACCTGAGTTAGAGAGAATTTTCAGTTTCAACCCGACTCCTGACACAAAAAATGCTGTATTTAATTAGCCTTTTTAACTTTGCAGTGGCTATATGGCCCCTGAATATGCAATGCATGGTCGTTTAAGTGACAAAGCGGATGTATATAGTTTTGGGATCGTGGCTCTTGAAATTGTTAGTGGCAGGTGCAACACTAAAGACCAGTGGAAAGAAGAATCTCTCTATCTCCTTGATCGGGTAACTGAGCTCTCATTCTATATTTCCTTGCTTAAACATGTTGATATGCTAGTAGAACAAAAGGATTGAGTTCGAATATACTGTGCTGCATAATCCTTAAATGAGGGAATGCTAACTCTTCTGAGGATGCAGTTCACTGGATATATTGACGTTTCATTCCTATATTATGGCAAATGGAGTTCATTCATTTGTCAATTTAATTTATGTTTATAGGCTCATATTCTGAAGGAGAAAGAGAGCTTGTTGGATTTAGTCGATCCAAGGATAAGCTCTGATTGCAACATAGAAGAGGTGATGGTGATGATCGATGTGGCTCTCCTATGCACTAATCCTACTGCAGCAGCTAGGCCTTCTATGTCTTCTGTGGTAAGCATGCTCGAAGGCAGGGTTGCTGTCCCTGATTTGATTTCAGATTCAAGTGTTTCTACTAAAGAATTGAATGCGGAGGCAATGAAGAAGTTTTATCAGCAAATCGAAGAAAATGATGCAGAAAACGATGCAGAAAACAGCCAGACAAAGAGTTTGTTAGGAGATGGGCCGTGAACTAATTCTTCTACATCTGCCGCTGATCTCTATCCAGTCAATTTCACTTCTGGTTATTTGCAGAATAGAGATTTCCACAAATTAAGAAAATTGTCATGATTAGCAGTCAGAATACTTCATAACTAGAATGGTACGACAAATATTTTTCTTGTGTGATGGGAATACTTTGAAGGTCCATTTGCAAAAATTATTTGATGTGATGATAACAGATAATTTCTTCTTGATTATGTTTCAAATTCAGAAAGGGTAGTAAGAAAACACAGCAACAGTATCAGAAGGATGAGGATTGCTATAAGCTATAGGACATAGCAGCTGGTCTCAACCAATTCTGGGAATTATAGTTGTTAATTTTTGCATACCAAGCATTCCTTTTTTTTTTCTTTTTTCAACTTCTTGATGCAATATTTTAAAGAATTCTATAGCAGTTTCTTGCCAATTGGGACAAAGATAAAGAAGTCTTAGAACATTTGTGAACATTAGGAGAACATCCTCCACATAAAACACCAGAAATTCTTGTCTTCCACAGGGTTTCATATTGGTATCAATGTCTCAACCTATAAAGAAAAGCCTTATGACTTTTTTTGATGCAATGAGCTAAAAATTCTATAGCAGATTTGGGCCAAGGGCTAGGAATTTCATAGTGGTTGATTTGGGCCAAGGGCTAGTGATTCCACATTGGTGATACAGATAATCTCCATTCACTAACGACCAAATTTTTTTTCTTTCATTGTAATTAACCATTGTTACATCTAGTGCAATTGTAAAAACATTGCCATCTTCTTGAGCTAATTTTAGTTCAGTTGATACATTTATCAATCCTTAAAGGTGAAATCAATATTTTATCCACGTTTACTCATACTCGAATTCCAAGATTCAATTAGCAAATTAATTTCCTACTCTAACTTTGGCTTAATAAAATTTGAATACAATAAATTCAAAATCCTAATTTAACTTTAAAGCTGAATCAAAGAACGAACTCAAACAAAAATTAAGTATGCATGAAAAGAATTGAACTAATCACAGATTTAGATAAAATCATCGTCAAATGATCTTGTACAAAATGGATTGTTACATATAGAGCAGCCAAATTTGTAAAAGTTTGGAAAAAAAAAAAGATTTTGAGCAATAGCTTAGTTGAGAAAAATAGTAAATGCAAATTTATTATAGTGTTTTTCCACTTTTCTGGCTCTAGACTCTCGTTGAATGAATTTTTAAAGGAAGACCTGCTTTGATTTGCAGCCACAACCTAAAGATAAGATTATCCTAGGTTTTCTTTGTATATTTATTTTTTAATTTAAGAAAACAAAACTTAAATTTTAAAATTTTAAAATTTTAAAATAAAAAGTATCCATCAATTAAACTAAATGTTGACAGATTTCTTTTCTTTCTTTTTTCCATGGAAAACAACCCACCAGCTATGATTGGCTTGGGTTGAAGTGTTCTTGGTTTAGATTTAATTAGTTGGCTGACTTTTGAAACCAGGAAGACTTAAAATTTCTAAAGGAAGGCTTGGGTTTTTCTTTTAAGGTAACGTTTTGTATTATTTTTAAAACTATGGTAGTGATTTAATTACTATAATAATAAAATTATTAAAATGATTAGATTATTGGTGATTTTAAAATATCATATTTGTTATAATATTATAAATCACTAGCGATATTAAACTATTTTATTTGGTGTTATATGAAAAAATAAATCATAAAATATAAAATATCTAAGATAATTTATAAAAAGCAAAAAAATTAATAGTTATTAAATTAATAATTTATAAAATAGTTAAATGTTATTTTATAAAAAATTATAAAATATAAATAAATTTTTATGAAAAATAATTTCTAAAAAAATTATTAAATAAATTCATTATTTTTATGATGAATATACATTTTATTCAATTGCAATAAAAAAACTTTTTTAAAAATAAGTTATTAGAAAAATAGATTTTTGAAAATTTTTACTAGCAAGCTTTTTAGGACAATGTTAAATACAGCTTTCGTCATGGTAAATTAATAAAAAAATAATATTGAAAATTATTTTTATGTGATGATAAAAATTTCTTATTTTTTATATTGAAAATATATCAGCCTTCAAGATAGTACTCTTGTCACCCTAAGATTTAAAATCCGTAGGATTTTTAAATTGTTTTCAAATAAGGTAATGTAATTATTATGTGCATATCATTGTAGTTTTTAGACAAATCATCCTATACCAAATATTCTCAAAGTGATTTGCATAAGATATTATAATTATGATAAAAAAAAAACTAAAATTCACGTATTCATAAAATTGAATATTATAATTTGTGTCAACAAAAAATATAAAATATATATTTTTTAAACTCATATCTAATTATTATCAAAATTTTAAATTATATCCTTTTATATTTTTTATTCATATTTTATTTGTATTGTATCATCATATTATATTTTATATTATCAAATCTATTCTTGTTGATCGAATTTTCAATGGAAGACTTGCTTTGATTTGCAACAACAAAAATGATTATTGCTCTTTGCTAAAGATAAGATTATCCTTCGACTCTTTATTTATTTAATTTTTAATTTAACAAAAACAAATTTTGAATTTTAAAATTTTAAATTAAAAAATATGCATCAATTAAACTAAATGTTGACAGATTTCTTTTCTTTCTTGTTTCTATGGAAAATCACCCACCAGCTATAATTGGCTTGTGTTGAAGTGTTTTATGGTTTGGATTTAATTCGTTGACTGTCTTTTCAAACCAGGAAAGACTTAAAATTTTCCAAGGGAAGGCTTGGGTTTCTTTTATGAAGATTTGTATAAGAAATTATAATCATGATAAAATATTAAACGTGGTCTAAAAAAGTCAGTGAATTAAACAAGTGAACTAATTATCGACCAACAAATAATTAAATAAATTTAACATAAAATTAAATTAAATTAATGCATAACGAAAACTTGACCTTGTTGCCATTATTAAATAATCACCAAATTACCAAATTGCAATATAGAAAATATCAAGTCGAATTCTACTTGACCTGTTATCACCCCTTTATTAAAGATAAGATCCTAGTGTTTTTTCACTTGCTTGCCACTGAAACTTCAGGATGCTAAGAGCAAAACTTCCACTATTTTGCCTCTTGCTGTCCCTTGCTTTATCTCGACTCCCTGATGCTTGCATAGCTGCTAGATTGTTGAGCAAGGATTGTGACTCTTCTTTCTGTGGAAACGTTAACATCAGTTACCCTTTTCGACTAAACACCCAGCCTGACCGCTGTGGTTTTAGTTGGTTTGAGCTAGTGTGCGAGAATAACCGCACCATTTTCCCCATGAAATATGGGAATTTCTATGTTCAGGACATCTCCTATGTTAACAGAACTATCCATCTTCTAGATGTGAGCCTTGACAACGACAACTGCTCCATTCCTCATAGCTCGTATCCTTGGTACACCCCTTCAGGAAACAGCATAGGCCTCTTTCTCGATGGAAGATATGATAGTACAGCTGAATTTAGCGTGATGTATCTGGTAAATTGCAAGATGAAGATGATCAACTCTTCGGTTTACATCGATGCTTCTCGTTGCAGTACCAATCGCTCCAACTCTCCAACTCCACCTACTAGTTAGTTTTATTTTCTGGATGAGGAGACTGCAAAGTCTGATTTCCATCAGTCATGCATAACTGAAGCCCAGGTTCCAATCATGCTTTCTCGTATCAAGGGCCTGTCTACTTCTGATATCTACAAAAAGCTGATGATGGGCATCCAACTTTCATGGTCACTCTTTGTTTTTCTTGATTTTATGGTGCATTCGAAGATGGTTGCTAAAGTGTAAGAAATTTTTAGTATTTTGAATAACACTGACAAATTTGACTTTAATACCTTACTTTCCTCTTCCACCCATATAATGGGTACTTTGCCAAATACTAGTTTTTTAAATTTAGAAATAGTAGGTTTCCATAGTTTGTTTTTATATAATATTTGTAATGAAAGTTTTTTAATTTTATAAGCGTAATTAAGAGATTGTCATTTTTTAAAATTTTTTATTTGTTATTATTCCTCAAAGGATAAGTATCACCTTTTTTTTGTAGAGTTTAGAAACTGAATAATTTTTCTTTATTTATTTCTAATTTTTTTTTTTTTTTTTTTTACATTATATAATTTTAAATGTCCTCTTTGATATTTCCTGATTTTATTAAGGATTAATTAACAACGATTTTTTAATGTGCTTTGTTGAATATTTCAGATTGTTATGGTTGTTCGCGCTGTTTTTTTCAAATATTCGAAGTATCAAGGCCTTTTTTCTGCATGGCACTTTGACACAGGGTATTTTCGTTACTGCACCACTTGTTAAATTTATACTTTTCAGATTTCAATTAGTGGTACCGAATATATATTTTGATTATTGGATTTGACTTTACCTTCCTACCTTTCAAGTAACACGGTATTTTTACAGGAATCCAGACTATCTTTGTTGCAATAACAGGTATGCTATACATTCATTATTAAATTTTCAATCATTTCAATTTTATTAATATCATATATCTATAAAATATAAATATATATTATCATTTTTTTAATAATGTTGACTTTTACTCTATTAAAAGCACAAATATTGTAATGATATTGAATGTGAATTCATTCTTGTTTCTTTCATACAAATATCATTAAAACTTTGAACATGTCAATTGAACTTTTCACTTGAAAAATTAGATAATTTAATTTTTATTTTAATTAGACTTATATTATGGTACAAAATATGATTTTCACATCACATAAAATAACAAATACAATAGGATCAAAAACTAATTAATGTATATATTAATAAAATAATTATATGAAATCCGTTTCTTTATTGTTATAAAAAAAATTACACATGTAGTTTATATTGATAAATAAATTCATAAAAAATAATCATAATTAAATCATTGGAGAATATTTATTTTTCTATTTTTTGCTTTTTTTTGTTTTAATTGATTTGCTAACTATATATGTATGTTAATGAATTTACTATTTGTTTATTTTATGAGTTAATCATTTGACTGTTGATAACATAATTAAATCCTTTTAGTCCCTTGAAATAATTTTTTAATATATATTATTCTTATAGTTTAACTTGACCTCTATAATTAATATTTTTTCATTTAATCTATAATTATTATTCTCATAAATAAAAACTAATATCAAATCAAATGCAAATCAATTGCACACCTTTCACCAATAATTAGCTCTCTATGATTTATTGAATACTTTGAACACTTTAATTGGACTTTTCATTTGTAGAATTAGATGATTTAGGAGATGGCAGAGTTATCAATAGCACAAAACCAAATTGTCATAAGAATTTTTTACCTTGACTAATTTTTATTTTAAGATGGATTAATGTTTCTCAATGTATTAAATTACTCTCTTTTTCATCATCCAAGTGGTTGAATGTACTAATATGAATTATTCTAAGTAAAGAATTATTAAGTGAAGTAAGATTAATTATTTTTTGTGAATTTTTTCAAGGTGTGACTAAATTCATTAAAATCATCTTTTGAATGTATTTATGACAGAATTACATATAGATGAAAATTTATGTTGTTAATACTGAAAATAAAATTATTATAAATCGTATGAAAATAAAATCATTATAAATCGTATATATTTTACATAATAAGTTTATTATTCTGAGAATTGGAATTTCCTCTTAAAAAGCTTACAAGTAACAAGATTAGAATTTATTTATTTTAATATTTTAAATTATGTATTAATTTTAATATTGTATATAATAAAAATTTATGTATAATAAAAATTTTCAAATAAAAAAATTAAGCTTTCAATTGGTGAAATGTATAATTATATTTAATCGATGGAAATACTAGCGAAAAATATCCTAAACAAAAAAGAATGAAAAATTGACTAGTTATGTATAATTTTATCTTCTCTATATGATGAATAAGGTTAATGTTATATGATATTTAAATGAATACTATATAAATGTATTAATCTCAATTTTTTTAGAATTAATATGAAACTCTTTTATCAGAAGAAACATTGTATATTCCTTTATTTTTTTCATTGTATCAGTTAAAAAATATTCAATGTTGCATCAAAATTTTAAGGTTACCATATTATGTAATATTTGTTCAAACGTATTGAAATTCATTACATTAATTATCATAATTACATTTAATATAAAATATTATTATAAATTATAATTTAACTAAACTTAAAAGTGAATTGTTAGCCTTCATTAGTCAAATTCATTTGACAAATCTTTATTTAATTGTTTATTTAGTATTTCAATTATTTTAAATGTTGATATTTAATTGCTTATTATATTTCAATTATTTTAAATTTTGACTTCTCATAATTTTGAATAGGGTTGTAGATATAGGACAAACAATTTGAGTTAAATTTTATCATCTACTTCTATTCATAATATATTAAATTATTCAGTACTTATGCATGCTTCTTTTTGTTTGAAAAACTAGATTCAAATCATCTTATATCCAAATAAAAAATGAATATATTCAATTACTTATAATTAATTTTACTTTTAAAATATTCTTAAAAATCAATTAACTAATTCATTGACAAAAACAATAAAAATGAGACATTAATTGAAAATGAAGGAAATAAAAGTTTAAATAATGAACTTTTAAATTATTAAGGAAGATGAAAAAGAAATATTAAATTCTCATTGGTTATTATTTCAATTCAAAATTTGGTTATATTCAATCATTTTTTATTTTAAATAACTACTAAGTTATTTACTTTTTAAATTTAATTGAAATCAAGTCAAGTTAGTTTATTTTTATAATTATGTGTTTTATATTAAGTTTTAATTAAATTAAAATTTGAAATGAGTAAAAAATTAATGTTTACTCAAATTGAGTTTTGAAATTTTCATTTTGAGTTGATTAATTATATTATTTTTAGTTATACTTTTATAATAAATTTCAAAATAAAATGAGAACATAACACAATAAAAATTTCAATGCAAAAGTTACGGAAATGCTAATGATAATTCTAGAAGAAAATTTTTATGCCCAAGTCTTACATAGATTAAAAGATATATCTTTTTTTGAAGATTTTAAAATTCATACTACATAAATGTTAATCTAGATCAATAAGTTTATTACTATTCATTTACCGATTAAGTTGCTACTACATGGGTTAAGAAAAAAACTTAAACATTTCATTTGAAAGAAAAATCATAATTCATACTTACTACAACATATAATTAATATAATAACTTAGTAATAAATCAATTATAATATAATTATAAATGCATGACAATATAGTAGTATAATAAAAGACAACTTACTAAAAAATTAAGTGATAAGCTTAGTAGTTAGTTATTGATAATTTAATAATAAATAAGTGATAATTTAATAGTAAATTAAATAATTTAATTGTCAATCAATGTTAATTTAATGGTAAATATTTATAATTTAATTGTTAATAATTGAAAAGTTAAAAAAATAATTGATAATTTAATAGTCAATCATTAAAAGATTAGAAGTAAATCAATCTAATTTAATAGTAAATCATCGATAAATTAATAGTTAATAAATGATAACTTAATAGTAAATCATGGATAGTATAATATAAATTATTGATAATTTGGTAATGAATCATGGATAATTTAATAATAAATTGATAATAAATATGCAGTAAATAAACGAAAATTAAGTGATAAATCAGTACTAATATAGTAGTAAATATATAATAATATAATAATAAGTCATTAATAATTTAGTAGTAAATTAATTATTGATAACTTAGTAATAAATTAATAACTTAATAATAAATCATTAATAGTTTAGTAATAAATTAATAATAATTTAGTTGTAATTCAGTGATAATTTAGTAGTAAAATGGTTAATCATTAATAATTTGATAGTAAATCTTCGATAAATTAGTAATAAACCAGTTATAACTTTATAAAAATCATCAATAACTTAGTAATAAATTATCAATAATTTAATAGTAAATTATTAATGGTAAATCATCCTTAATATAAAGATAAATCATTGATAAATTAATAATAAATCATTAATAATTTAGTAATAAATCATACGACATAATAATAAATTAATGACAACTTAATTGTCAATCATTGATAATTTTTTGTGTTTGAAGTTGCCAAAAATTGAACTCTAGTTACTAAAAAAAACAAAGGCAGAACTTTAATCTTGGATGTTAAGATAAGCTTACCATAAATCTATTTAATAAAAAATTATATATACATATATGTGTGTGTGTGTGTGTCTGTTGGAAAAGAGAAAGCATTAAACTAGGAGATATCATAGAAAGTGAAAACAAAATTATGAGGAAAATGATAATAGTTGCCTTATGGTGCATACAAATGAAGCCCCCAAGATCATCTTTCAATAAGCAAAGTGTGGGAAATGCTTAAATGTGAACTTGAACTCCTCAAAATGACTCCCAAGCCTTTTTCTATTTTTTTTCTCAAAATTCCTGTGAAAAATTGAATTCAAAAGATAAATCGTTTTAGTATTAGGAAAATAATTATATAACACAAGATTTTTTTTTTTTACAAAATGTCACAAAATAAAAAAAAAAAGTTATCAATGCTAAATTTAAACTCTAAATTTACTTAATATAGATAAGTCC